GAAGGCTGATTGTTTAAGAAGTTACATCTCAGAGGCCATTAAGAATAAAAAACTTGAATTTCATAACCATATATTTGAAAACTAGGTCAGACTAAGCCTAAAATCAAAGCAAAGGGATTTATTTAGCAACTTAAAGGTTTCCCTGAAGTAAAGTTCAAAATTAAAGTTAAAAACAATGATAAATAATGAATTTATATTTTAATTCTTATACACACCCAACACCTTAGTTATATTATTTTGTGATTTTTTTTTTTTTTTTTTTTTCTGGCAGCTGGGCAGTATGGAGAGCTGAATCCTTGATCTTGGTGTTAAAACACCATGCTCTAACCAACTGAACTAACCGGACAGCCAGTGATTTTTTTTTTTTTTTTTTTTTTTAATGTAGAGTTAGGACTACATCTTATTCTTAATATTCCTATCAGCTAAAACTGGGTATGGCATGGCACAAAAGCATTCACTAAATGCTTGTTAACCCAATTATATGATTTTTTTCTTTAGTTTCGATAATTGTGATTTGATATGCAGTGTCTGATCAGTGTAACAAATATATTACAGGGTTTGACTATCTTTTCTAGAGAACTCTGTTCTTTCACAGAATAGCTGCATTTAAATGAGAACATAACACGTTGCTCCACACCTTTGTGAAGAGGCTTAATGCACTATCCTTTATCTCCCTGATCCTGAAGTACATTATTGATCAAGACGATAAACTTAGTTATTAAGGAAAAAAGACTTCTAGGTGAGATTAATGAACTTTATTCCCTTACCTCCTTTTTTCAAAGGTTAGCTCTTTTCAGAGGTTAGCTCTCTGCTGGGGCCTCTGGACAAGAATGCCATTAAGATAGCAATGTCTTCTGGGAAGTTAGTCTGTTAGTTATGGAACTTTCCTAATGTACTCTACGTTGAGAGACAGTGGTGTAATGGTAGCCCAACAAGAAATCAAAACTACCACTCGCATTTATGGGGTTAATATATGGACGGTTGAACCTGCCTCTGAAGACTTCAGCAGGTAAAAAGAGGAACAGAAATATTTTGTAGCCAATTCAAGACTATAAGCTAGCCCCAGAAGAACCATAGTGAACACAGTAAGTGATCAATAAGTGTTAGCTTTAAAAAATGGCACCTTCCAAACAACAAGATATTGGTAGCCCAAAAGCTAATATCTTAAGTCCCAAATAATATTCAGTGCCTATTCATCTGGTCTTTATGATGAAGATATGCCATACCTCTTAAATCAAGTTCCTAAAATGTGTTGTAGCCAACTATCCTATACTTGGAGTAAATATGTGACACAGAAACAGTGGAGTGGGGAAAGAGAAGCAGGCCATCTAATTGGCTGATTGGGCAGACCTGTCACTCTGCACATTCCATCCTGGTATTAAAGTCAAATGGTCTAAGTGTGTTTAGATCTCATAGATAAATGAACTGCAGAAGTGGAATCCTGTAGAATCTTTGGTTACTGTCTGTCGAACAATACAGGAACAATTCATCTGTCTTCTAAAAGACCATTAGTCATCTAACCTTACTTAAGTGGAGATGAGGTTAAAATAAACACCTTTAGAAGATCACTGGTCCTCTGTCACCATATGTCATCAAATGCTGGCCTCTGAAACCTATTTGAGAATCTAATATATAAACAAATAAATCCTTAAGGAGAAACAAAGCTCTTAGTACCTTAACCAAAAATTATCATCCCTCTTTATAATTTAAATTATTTTCCTTAACAACTTGGTAAATGTAGGATTGGGGGAATATTGTTGTTTTGTCATTATATTTTGTACAAGCAAAGGTTATTTTGGCGAGTTCATTTTTAAACTTCTTTTTTCCTGGTACAAAAAAAGATATGTAACTATAGTTCTGCTTAGTGATAGAACCAATTTGGCTTGACCAAATTTCTGATCATTTTCGGAAGGACTTCTTGCCAGTGTACTGAGGTTGAGTGTGGACAAAAGACATAACTTATGGACCCTGTAAGGCATCCTTTTTCTACTTGGCAAATGTCTCTCTTCCCTCTTGAGATTAGGCAGTAGCAGTTCTACTTTGTGGGAAACACAATTTCTTTTCTAAGTGGCCTGCTCAAATTAGATAGGGGGAAAAGGAAGAGATAAGGGCATTTCCCACATGATGGACATGGTTCATGTGTTCCGGAGAGGCCTAAGTAATTTTTTTATAGATAGATTGTGTACTAAGCTAGCTAGGCAGTTTTATATACTTTCACGTAGTAAGCTGTATAGTTTAAATTTTTTTAAAGAGGCTTTGCCTTTGACAGGGGAAGAAGGGACAGATGTCCTGTCCATTGCACAGAATGAATTTTTATCCTGGAAAAAAAAATTCAAATTTCATTGTTTTTAAAGTTTTTAATAGGACTTTGAAAATGTCAAGAGTGCAAAAATAACATCATGTTGTTTATTTAATCCATTAGCACATCAGCATGAAATGCATTTAAATGTTTGAAATTCATTTTAAATGAAGAACAAAAACCTAAAAAGTCAACATCCTCAGTCATAATTGTTGTAGAGAATTAGTATCCATTTTACCATGAGGAATTTGACCTTTCCATTATGGCCACTTTTTATCACATTGTCACCTTCCTCTGTGGTCATACTCTTTTATGCCAGTTTTCCCATCCAAAATGGTAATTACCTAAGATGCTTTTCCAGCCTTGTTGCTCACATGTGGCATTTGGGGGGGGGGGGGGTTCTTTGTTTTGTTTTTTCCTTTTATTTATTTTGGAATAAATTTTTAACTAATACATGTGCCCTATTATGTGGCATTTTTGTGATGGCAGCTACACATGCACGTACGCACTTTAAGGGAATGGGAATAAATTGAGCAAACCGAGTGAAAATCCCAAAAGTGATTTTTATCAATGTGTCTATGAAGGAAGATAGAGAAGACCAAGCTTTTAAAAAAATAAAAAATAGGAAATGAAATGGGGATGCATTACTTGGAGTCAGGAGGGATGTGATAGAACCACTGTGACTAGACAGCTTTGTCATTGACTTGCAAAGTGTACATGCATTTAAAGGAATATTGCCTTTAAAGGCTGCACTTTGGAATTCTTTTTAACTTTTATACGGTGAATATGCATTTGTGGTCAGTTCTTTTTGAGAGGTTTGTGTTGTTTGTGAAAAACTCTTCCACTTTCCCACTCCACGTCCTCTGCTCGATGGAAGCATTCTCTCCCTTCTGTGAGCGGCTGTGTTGATACGGCTGTCTTAGGTAGGAAGTTCCAGCTCAGAACTGGTACCAGTAGCCTGCTGATTAGGGGTCTTTTGTGGAGCCCAAGAGCCTTCCATAGCAGCACTTTAGTGTTTTACCTTTATGCTGATAGAATTGTGTATGTGTTTAAAAAAATAAAAATAATGCTAAATTGATTCGCTTTCTCTGATTTGTCTAGCCAGGCTTCAACTTATGTGTTACATTATACTACGTGGGCCTAAAACAAAAACTCTGATCTTTTTAGCAAGCTAAAAATAGTTTTAGCTCTTTTAATTATTTCATGGAAATAGTACTAGGACAAAGGAAATGTGCTATATTTATTAGCAACCATTTTAAAAACATATTATCCAGTAATACCTAATGTCATGAACAGGACTAATAACATAATGTTAAATAGATAAACAGTGTGTCAAGCAAAATAGGAAATATGACACTGTTGATTTGTATACGTTTATAAAAAAAAAAATAAATAAAAAAAAACCTGGAAGAAAAATCACCAAAATATTGCAAATGATTACTTCTGGTTGGAATGCCTATATGCAACTTTATTATTTCCATTATACTTTTTCCCCTAATTTTTCAGAGTAAAGCATATATTGTTTTTATAATAAAAACTGAAACTTTATTAATTTAAGAAATTCTTAAAAAGAAATAAAGGAAAGCAGCAAGAGCAGTTCTCTGAGGGGGCAAGGAGAAATCAATGACACTGTCAAAAGTAATACCAGGCTTTGTTTCTGTAGAGTTGGAGATTTTTGAGCTCCTTGTTTGGTGGGTGGGTCATAGGTGTCCTGTTAATGAAAAATGCCAGCCTGGTAACATGCAACAGGTGCAAACCTCTGCTTATAAGCCCTGGGAACAGTTTGAGAATTGCCAGCATCTTGGCAGTGTTCTGCAGCTCTCACAGCTGCTGTGTATCTGCTCCAACACTTCAGTGTTCTGTGCTGTGAGATCTGGCCCAACTCTTCTTACGCACCGCAGGCTTTGACCGACTACCAAATACTTGGCCAGAGTATTGTCATGAGAGCTGTCGGATGAAATTCTGGGGCAGGAGTCATCAGTCATTTAGTATGCTTCCAAAGGGAGTCAAAGGAATAGTTATTCCAGGATAAAGGGAATAGAAAAGAAAAAAATTAGAGCAGGTCTGTTATTTAAGAAAAACACAGAACCAAAGTACAGGAGAATTTGAGAGAGTCTTTGGTTCTAAGGATTTATCAGTCACTGTTTAAAGAGAATATGGTAGAGCCTCTGTGAAATGAGCGAGGTGAGCTTCAGCCGGGATGAGACAGATTTATTAGAGTTCTCTCATCACATCTCTTGGCCAAGAAAAACATGCACCTTGTCCAGAGACAGAGTTTTTCTTCCATTCCAGGAGGTGGAAGAAAACATCCAGACTTTAAGATGAGCAATTTTCACTAGCAATTTTTTGAAACCTACTCATGAATAAGTGAAAAGAAAAATTGTAAGGTAACTGGGGTCTTTCTGTATCAGGACTATCATCTTTGTAAAAACAAGCTAGTCCTGTGCTTGATCCCCTGCCTAATTACAGAACTCTCAATCTAGTCTTGATATAAGAAGCCAACATTCCCTCCGCATCTCCCAGAATGGTGGTTGCGTGTGACAGTGTAAATGTGCAACAGTACGTGGAACTGTTTCTTTTTATAATCCTGAAGGTTTCAATAGTGAGTGGAAGACGTGCAGTCTTTGGTCAGTTTTCTTTGGCTTGGGAGACATAAAGAATATTTGAGCTTCTCATTTCAGATTGACCTTGACTTTCCTCATTTTTTTCATCTCAGATCATCCAGCCCCTCTTAGAACTTGACCAAAATAGAAGCAAATTAAAGTTGTATATTGGACACCTGACAGCCCTCTGCCATGATCGAGACCCCCTGATCCTTCGTGGACTCACGCCACCAGCTTCCTATAACTTGGACGATGACCAGGCAGCTTGGGAGAATGAGCTGCAGAAGATGACCCAGGAACAGGTGAGTTTCTCGAGCTTTGACAAGAGCCTGTTAAAATTCAGCTGCTATTTAGGTTGACACACTGGGAGCTACCTACACAATGGGGAAATCAGTATTCAGATTCAAGATTCTTTTGGGGAGAGAGATTTTCAGATACCAATTTCTTATTGATTTCTAATTTATTTTTTGTTTTTTAAATTAAATTGACAAATAAAAAATGTATGTATTTATCATGTACAATATGTTGTTTTGAAATATGTGTACATTGTGGAATGGCCAAATCGAGCTAATTAACATACACATTACATCACATACTCTTCATTTTTTGTGATAAGAGCACTTAAAATCTCTCTTAGCAATTTTTAAGACAATACATTGTTATTAGCTATAGTCAGCATGTTGTACCGTAGATCTCTTGAACTTATTTCTGTCTAACTGAAATTTTGTACCCTTTCACTAACATCTCCCCAATCCCTACCCCCACCCCAGCCCATGGTAACCACCATTCTCCTCTTAGATTGAAGATTCTTAGCAACAAACAGTCTTCAGCCGATATTTGGAATTACCTTTTTTTTTTTTTGAGACCGGGCGCCACACTCTCCCTAGTGCGCCACGGGCTCGGCCCTTTGGAATTACCTTTTAAAGGAAGTGCCACTTGATTCTTTTCTCAGTGTAACTTGCTCAAGTATCAGAAAGGGCTGATTTAGAAGGGAGAAGATTAAGAACAATCTGTTAACATGCCATAGGTTATTACATAGAACTGATGGCTACTGAAGACAAGTTGGACTTAAGGATGTTAGAATAAGGGATTTTTTGACAAGTTAGTGGCATGAATCTTCAGTTGTCTCTAGGAAACTGTGGGTTACAACATACTCTTAAGTTTTTAAGTGAAAGAACCTTTAGATGAATTAGTTTCGGTTAACTCCATGTCTTAGTTAATTCAGGCTGCTATAAGACAGTACCATAGACTGGGTGGCTTATAAACAACAAAAATTTATTTCTCACAGTTGTGAAGGCTGGAAATCCCAGATCAGGGAGCCAGCGTGGTTGTGTTCTGGTGAAGGGCCCTTTTTGGCAGACTGCTGACCTCTTGACCTAATCACCTCCCAAAGGCCCCCACCTCCTCATAGCATCCACATTGGGGGTTAGGTTAGTCTGTAGCACCCCCTATGCTACGTTTTCTGCTTACTGTTGCCTATAAAAAACCAATGATTCTCTTTCTTGTATGTTGTGATTTTTGTTAAATAAAGAGATGATAAGGCTAGCCTGGAGATAAAAATCGTGAATAAAAGAAACAAAGAGAAAGCCGGATGAGGATATGGATAGAGAGCAGACATGGAAAATGAAGGAAGGAAAAATTGGATGAACACTGAGAAATAGAATAGAGAAAATTTTAAAACATTAATTCAAAGCTCCTTTGCTTCTTAGTTTACAAGTAGAGATCAGTGATATTCCTTACCCCTTACAGACTATAATCATACCAGCCAAAAGACTAAAGAAATGTGCAGGTGTGGTAATTTTACTAAAACTCTTCATCAGAATTTTGAAGCCAAACTCAGTTTCCAGCTACCTACCTCCTATTTGTTAAACATTATTTGTTTACTCATTATATTAAATACAAAACCTCCTGTGGTATGATGTTAAAGACAGCAGTGACAACCCAGAAGTGAGGAAATGCCAACTGGAGAGCGTTAGCACTGTACCTACTTCCCCACGATGCAGATATTACCTAGTAATAGACCTCTTTCACAGCCTAACTAGTTATCTAAGGTACCTCATTTATTAGATGTGAAAAGGTAAGGTCTACTTTGCAAATTTAGCATGTTGCCATAAATTTTAATTTCTTCCTTTTCTTGAAAGGTGTGGGGGGGAGCGGAATTTAAAGGACAGCATTAAACTAAATTCCTAATAGCTCTTTTTGATATTAATAACCATATAGTAAAAATGCAACTGAAAGCCCACTGGAAACAGGGCACACAGCTAGATCATTTTAGAGATTTTCTGCTTCAAAAATTTGCAGAAAAACAATGTTTCTTAAAGTTCTAACATAGTGCTATATCAGAGTTTAACTGGTATTAAATTACTCCTTTGTAAAATAGCTTGTCTTTGAAATGGAAAAAGTATTTTCACTCAACCTATATTGTAAATATGCCTGGATATACTTAATTCAGTCTTTCAAAGGAGAAAGAAAAATATCTTCAGGGTGAGACCAAGATAGAAAATTCCAAACTGAGAATTTCTCTGTAAGTTTTGAGTGAATGAAACCAGGAATTCATTAACAGACTTGCCTTTACACATAGTTACAGTCAAGCTACTGCCTTCATCGAAATGATTTTGTTCACACACATGAATTCTGTTAACTCATGTTTCCCCTTGATTAAGAATGTATTTCAGTTACTGAAGTTACTGTTTGAGGCATGTCGAATTGTAACTTCAGCTGTATTCCCTGGGAAGCCTGGGGAACAGGGCACTTAGGTCATCTGTAAAGAAATACTGACACCACCTTCTATAAGCTTCTCCATAGTTGCTAATGATTGGTGGAGAAACCGACCAATTTTCTGCCTCCTCACCTCAAATAAGAATTTAAGGGAATAATGCAGGCTATCTAACGATGCAAAATGACTTGCCTGTGAAAGTATTGTGATTGAGGTTTACATAAGATACAAAGGAACTTCAAAAAGTTCATGGGAAGATTCGTATTATCTTTTAATTCTATTTTTCTATGAACTTTTTGAAGTACCTTCCTATGAGTCACTACTAGGTATGCATATCGGTTTATTTTGTGTGTGTGTGTTTTATTTACACTTCTGTTTTTGTGATGTAGAGCCTTCTGCTTCTGACATTCGTATTATTCATCTCTGTGTCTCCAGTGCATTTCACTGCCACCATGTTCTCCGCTGCATCCCCTGAGGACAGGAAAAGAGCCTTGTCCATTTCTTTGATGCTGTATCCTCTGTACCAGGAACAATGCCTAGCATACAGTAGCTGCTCAGTAAATATTTGCTGAATGAGTAAGAGACACAGAGCAAAAGGAAGGCAGGCAGACAGGATAAAGTCCATACTCCTTTCATACCGTACAAGGCTTTCTTTCATTTGGCTTCCTAAGTGCATACCTCCTCTCACCTATCCTTGAGCATACTGAAACAACTTATAGAGTTTCATTTTTGGTTTTGATTTTGTTTTTATTGATTGATTGATTGATTGATTGATTGATTGATTGATTGAATGGCTGGCTGGTATGGGAATTGAACCCCAGACCTTGGTGTTATCGGCACCACCTCTAACCAACTGAGCTAACCGGCCAGCCCCAACTTAAGTTTTTTAAAAGGACTGCACTGTTTGATGAGTCCTTTTGCTCACAGTGATCCTTCCGTCCTTCTCTACCTTGTCTCCCTGAGGAACACCTAAATAGGAATCTTAACAAACTCAGCTCAGACATCATTTCTTCTAGGTATTCTTTCCTGAAACCCCAGGCAGAATGTGCCACTCCCTCCTTAGGGCCTCTCCACAGACGTGAAAACAAGTAAATGTTACAGGTTACATTTACTTGTTTTCACATCTGTATTGTAGGTTATCTGCCTGTTGAAGGTAGGAAACAAATCATTTTCATCTTAGAATTAGCACCACAACAGGTACTTGGTACTTGCTCAGTAATTTAAATGAGTGAATTAATTCTAGTGAGTTGGGCATAGTTTATCATTTTGTATTTCATATTCGTTATCCTTATTTCTCCAACTAGTTTACAAGCTTCTTCACTGCCAGAACCTTGTCTTATATGTCTACAGTGCACAGCACAATGCATGTAGGGAATGCTTAACTGATTATTTATTTGGTGACCCAAGATAGTTTCCTCAGTACCACTGAATAGCTTGGATAGTATGACTGTCAATGTCAGAAACCAGGCAGACTCCACTCAGAGTCTTGAACGCATAATCTGCAACTCCCTCGCCTATAGGAGCCTAAAAATATAACCTTACATCTGAAGATTTCTCTGAATTGTTTTGTTTCCTCTACCCTCTTAGAGGAAGGCTACCATATCAACTAAACTTGGGGATTTGTTTATTTTTCTTACCTCAATAGTTTTTACTTTATGTATATTGATGCTCTGTTATTGAGTACATACACGTGAAGGATTGTTGTGTCTTTGTTAATTTTTTAAGGAATTTATTTATTTTTTAATTGAAGCATATTGACGGTACATTTCTTCAGGAATTTTGACTCTAACATTATGTAATGTCCGTATTCAAAGCCAGTAATATTCCATGCTCTGAAGTCAGCTTTGTCTGATATTAATGTAACTCGTCCAGCTCTCATTAGATGAATGTGTGTGTGTGATTTTTTCATACATTTGCTTTTTAAGCTGTGTCTTTATATTTACAGTGGGTTTCTTGTAGAAAGCATATATCCAATCATTCTCTGTCTCATAACTGTTCAGACCATCTGCACTTGGTGCAGTTATTGATATAGTTGAGTTAAGTCTGTCATCTTGCTGTTTGTTATCTGTTTCTTCTATTTGTCCCTTTTTCCTTCTTTTACTGCTTCCTTTTTAATTAATTGAGTATTTTTTTATGACTCTGTTTGATTTCCACAGGTGGCTTATAAGCTCTACAGTCCCCACCCCTTTAAGTGGTTGTGCTGTGGTTTACAGTGTACAGCTTTAACTTATCATAGTCTGCCTTGAAGAAATAGTGTGCCATTTCAGGTGTAGTATAGAAATCTTTCAATAGTATATTTCTATTTCCTTTGTCCCAAACTTATGCTATTTTTGGCATACATTTTGTTCCTCCATATATTATAAACCCCACAGTTCGTTGTTACTATTTTTTGCTTCAATCAGTTATCTTTTTTTTTTCAATTTTTTGTTGTGACAAAATACACATAACACAAAATTTACCATCTTAACCATTTTTAAGGGTACAGTTCAGTATTATTAAATACATTCATTTTTTTTTTTTTTTTGTCTTTTGTCTTTTTTCCGTGTCCGGCAACGGATCGCAACCCTCAGTGTTGCCCCCGCACCG